TATAATTTTATGACTTCCCTCTCCCTGTGGTGCAGGTCTCACGGGTGCGCTCCGACTCTGTGGCCCAACACTTGGTTTTATGCTCTCATCCTATTGTCTGACTTATTATGAAAACCCATTTCGTATACAAATATTTGTACTCTATTTCCCTTATTTATGGAAATAATTAATTACAAATTGATTTTATAGTTGATCCGGGTATCGATAGGCGTGACCCTCGATGGGTGGGTGCTTGGTGGATTGGGTTTATTGCAATCGGCACCGGTTTACTCATATTCACAATCCCAATGTTTCTATTTCCCCGAAGTTTTACTAAAAGTGATAATAAAACCAGTGATGCACTCAATGGTAACGCCATAGCGAATGAATGTCCTGCTAAAGTGTCTCAAGAAAAAAGTAAACATTACATAAAAAATTCATACTTTAGATAAAACTAAATCATTTGATTTAACTATAGCTATATGGGAGCGTACTCTACTCCTGGTCAAAAATCCCATTTATGTGTGCTATGTATTGGGAACGACTGCCCGACTGTTTGCAGTGCTCGGGTATATAACATTCAAATCCAAATACATTGAGTCTGAGTACAAAACATCGGCGTCTACTGCCAACCTATTTTCTGGTACTCTATAAGTTAAATAAGTAATCAAATTCATTTACTTAACCCATGTTTTATGTCTCAATGAATAGGTATAATAGGTGTCGTGCCCACAGCTACCGGTGTATTCCTGGGCGGGCTGTTTATCCGTAGGTTCCTTCCCGGGCCTCGAGTACTGACAGCTTTCATAACAATTGTCGAAATGATTGGAGCGATGGGTATGTTCTCAGCCCTATTCCTGGGTTGCCCGCAGTCCCAGTTCGCGGGAACTACACTCCAGTCACAGTAAATATAACTCATCCGTATATTAAAGCCACATTTGACATAAATTGTCACATAATACTAGATTTGAGTTGCAATCCCAGTGCAACTCCCAGTGCCAATGTTCAACTAAATTGTTTCAACCCATCTGTGGTCCCGACAATATAACCAATTATTTCTCGCCCTGTTTTGCCGGAT